CATGTGTGTAAGCTTCCCTGGGCAGGGGCCCTTGTCACAGCGGAAGTTCCTCTTTGCACCACTCTTGCTTTCATAAAGATCCTTTGGACTCAGGCAATCCATATGAGCAAGGATGTAGTGGAGATCAGAGTGCACCCACTTATTTTGGAGGGGTCTTTTGGGTGGGGAGTGTTATTAGATCCCTGAAGCTGGGGGCCACTGTCCATCCCCCACTGCCACTCAAGAGACTTAAGTTTGATGGTTTGTTCCTGGCAACTGCCCACTGTCTTGGAGTCCTGAATTTAATGGGTTAAGAATAGCAGTGGTCTTTTTTGACAGTTCCTGGGAACTACCAAGCAGCACATGTGTTTTCTGTGACACTTTCCCCCCTGGCAGCCTCTGCTCCTCAGCAACATGGAGTCAGCTTGCCTTTGCTCCTCCAAAAACTACCTCCCACCCCCCTGCATTCATACCACACTTTCATTTCACTTTGAACAGTCATTACTTCCCCAAAGAATCTTGGGGACCATAATTTGTACTGAGTATCATTAGTGGACATTCAGTTCTCACACAGAGTGGTTCAGTTTCCAGAGATCCTAGGGAAGAGGAACTGACTGATAAACCATTCCAGGAATTGTAGCTCTGTGAGGCAAATGAGTGTTTTGTAGCAACTCTTAGCCTCAGAATTATTTGGGAGAAAGCATGGTTAAAGTGGAATAAACATATCACAACTGGAGCATATTCAGTGGAATCAATGGGAAAAATTAGTCATGACTTCTGATAGCCTTAAGTTCCTCGAACTTCAGTTAGGCATGATTCAGCATGGATCCTATGAGAACACAATACAATGTTACTGGATCTTTTGAGGAACTGGAACATCTAAATTAGGGACTTTGGACTCATGGAGGAGCTCTCTCTCTCTCTCTCTGTCTCTCTCTCTCTCTCTCTCTCTCTCACACACACACACACACACACACACAGTGTCAGTAAGTGATTGCAGAGGCCACAGAAAATTAAAGGAAACCAACTGGTGATTGCCAATCCAGCATGCTGCTCCTGGGAGAATAGAACTGTATGTGTTTCTGCAAGTGTGGGCAATTAGTGCCAGAGTTTCCTTTTTTTCCTCTTCCCTCCCTGTCCCTTTCCCCTCATATGTCGTGTTTTTAGATAGTAAGCTTGTGGGCAGGAACTGCCTTATTAATCACACAGGCCACTCTGAGAGCTTTTTGGCTGTAGAATGGGGCATGGATGTGATTTTAAAAATTCATTCATAATAAATATGACAAGAATTAACTTGAAGCTGTCCTTGTTTCACCTCAAAGAGAGATACTCTTCTCTTGTGTTCAGTAACCAATGGACATTTAACCCAAGTGACAAAGCTCATTTTATTGCATAATCGCAGGTTGTATAAACTTGGAAAGAGGTGTGTCTTGTGGATGTCTGGCTTTGATGGGGGCATAGGTTTGCAGTGGGGCTCAGGATATTTGACCCCCCCCCGCTTCTAAATCTGCCAGTACACCACTGCATAAGAGACCTCTGGGACAAGTCCCGTGGATTGTGATTCTATACTGAAGCCGTGCCCTTCAGCTCAGAAGAGATAGGCAGAGAGAGAGAGGCCATAGCTTGGTCTGTCCTACTTGGTCTTCTGTAGAGTGTGGATTTAGGGTTATTTGGACTGAATCTGTAGAAAAGGGGGAGATTTGCTGGACCAGAATTCTTTCCCTTCAATTGAAAGGGAGAAGGAGTAAGGCATTTCAGGAGAAACGTCCTGAAGGCCATATGAGCTGAGACGTTCCCAGCTGCTTCCCAGTTTTGCATTAGTTTGGTAAGCACTCCAGGGCATAGGAAAAGGTATAATGCTCGGGGAAATCAGCCAGATTCAAAAACCTCCCTTCTGGTATGTGCAGTAACAGACATGGCTGCACCTCCACCTGACCTCTTAATTAAAAGGTTATGATGCAGGGAAACTGGAAAAGGTGCCCTAAGACATGGACCAGGAGAGCCCCAGTCAGCTGTTACCTTATGAGGACTGAGTCATTAGCTCTTGTGTGGCTGAAAAGGCTTCACACTTGAGTGTACAAGAGAAATCCTACTTTCAGAGAAAGGCTGTTTGCTCTGGTTCTTTAAACATGGCTGGGGCATTGTTTTGCACAGGGGGTTGGATTTCCTGCATCAATCCATTCGGCTGAGAGGCATGACAAGCTGAGCTTGACTTCCACAACCTGACCCTCCCGACTCTGCCCTCGATCTGTGCAGGGTGTGGCAGACAGAGAAAGGGGCACTGTTGACCCTGGGAGAAGCACCTCCTCCCAGCTGAAGTGGCCAGCCTTGCAACATCGCGCATGGTGGCAGGCCCTGTCAGAAGGGCAAAATCTGCAGAGCCTTGTCCCTGGGCTGAACTGAGGACCTCTGCAAGCCAGATTCAGCCCGTTGCCCGGCAATTCCCCACCAGAGGTTAAAATGTTGCCTTGCAACATTCAGATAGTATTGGCAGCCCAACAACATCTGCACTTGCCTTTGTGCATTTGGATTCAAACTGCAGCAAACAGAAACAAAATAATTTCAGAAAACAAGGTGCCCCTTCAGTGCCTCCCCCAGACATCCAACATCAGCCAGTCAAAGCAGGCTCTGGAATATCATTGCAGTCAGGTTGTCTCCAACTCATGACAACACTGTGAATAAACACCCTCCGAAATGTTCTGTCCATGACAGCCCTGCTCAGCTCTTGCAAACTTGGGAATATTAGCTGACAGCAAATGTTTGCCTTCAGTTTAAGGGCCCTGATGGTTTAATAAGCTTGGGTCTTTTATACTGTTATTATAATCTGCCAAGGCTCCAAACCACAGGTTGCATTGCACTCCTGTGTCCAAATATGGCATTTGGACAGTCGAAGATAACCTTCATAGTACAGTTCTCCATAACCTTTCCATTTAAAAATGCTTACTGCAGCATGCAGGCCATCTCCCAAAGGACTTCTGTTGTTGCTACCCAAAATGCCTAATGCTTATTTTGAAGCTAAATATTCAGCCTACAGTGATGGGGTATGGGGGAGCAGCCCCCCCCCCAGTGTCTTCCACATCATTAAAAAGAAACTGCTATGACTTTCTGGCACCGCCTCACACTGGCTCCATGCTCATGGTGCTTTTCTTGCATCAGGGGACCCACCACTAGTGCTATACAAAATCTTAAAGCATCCCTGGAAACAAGCAACCCAGTTCTGCAATGAACTGGTGCTCCTCCAACCTGCCGTGTTCTGGATTGCTTAAGAGTTTGCTAGTTTCCTCTAGCAGGACTCTCTGCCAGCATGTAGGAAAGCTGGATGCTGCTCACTGTGTGTGTGTGTGTACACTAGGGAGGGAGAATGGGGAATAATAGGAAGTATGACATTCTTAAAATGTGTAGCCAATTCTTGTGGAAGAACCACTGCTCAGAGGTAAAACATGGGATTTGCATACCGAAGGTCTCTGATTCAGTTCTTGGCATCATCAAGACCCAAGGCAGACATTGCCAGTCAGAGTAGACAACTCTGGGATAGAGGAACAAACACTTTGCCTGGTTATAAGGCAGATTTCTATAACTCTGGAGACTGCGGGAAAAGGGCCATACTGGGTGCCTGGCATTTTCCATGGATGTCTAAGCCAAACACAGAATCATAGACTCATAGAATAGTGGAGTTGGAAGGGGTCAGAAGGCCATCGGGTCACACTATCCCCTTCTGGTGACTGTCCAAATGCTTTCTGAATGTCTCCAGTGAGGGAGAGCCCACAACTTCCCCAGGTAATAGATTCCATGGCTGACTTCATCAGCTTGGTGTCATCCAAGTTGGAATGGGCAAATCGAATAATTTTGGGTTTTCTTAGTTTTTCACATTTACAATGCTAAATTTAGATTGTCCTCATGCCTTGTCTATTGGAAAACTGTGTGTGTGTGTGTGTGTGTGTGGAGGGGAAAGGGTTAGGTGGGAAAAAAGGCAAGTCAGGGGAAACTTGATAGCGATGTATACAATTATACATCCTTAGGAGAAAGTGGATAGGGAGACCTTTTTCTTCCACCAGTACTAGAATCCAAGGTCATCCACTGAAACCAAATGGTGGGAGGTTCAGGACAGATAAAAGGAAGTATTTCTTCATGAAGTGCATAGTTAAACTAGGGAATTAATTCACTGCCATTTAGTCCATAGTGATGGACACTAACCTGGATGGCTTTAAAAGACAAATTCATGGAAGAGAAGGCTGTCAATACTTAACAGTCTTGATGGTGATATGCTGCCTTCAGTATCGGAGACCACATGCTTATGCACACCAGTTGCTGAGGAACACAAGCAGGAGCGGGGCTACTGCACTTCTGCCCTGCAGAGGTTCTTCGTAAGTACTTGGTTGGCCAGCGTGGGAACAGATTGCTGGGCAAATCAGTCCTCCAATCTGATCTGGAATACCATGTCCAGTTCTGGGCACCAAGATTCAAGAAAGATGCAGAAAGATCAGAAGGGGTCCAGAGGAGGGCAACAAAAAGACCTGGGGTTTGGAAACACTGCCTTATGAAAAGAGGCTAAGAGAACTGGGCATGTTCAGTCTTGAGAAGACCGAGAGGGGGACATGATATCCCTCTATAAGTACCTCAAAGGCTTCTCACAAAGAGGAAGGTCAAGATCTGTTCTCGCTGATTCTAGCATGTAGGACATGGAACAATCAATTCAAGTTGCAACAACCTGGATTCAGGCTAGATATCAGAACATATTTCTTCACTGTTAGAGCAATATGACAGTGAGATGGTGTAACTTGGAATCCTGCAACAGCAGTGGGATGAAGCTGATGGCCTTCATTGTCCTTTCCAATTCTACTATTCAATGATGCTTTCTTTTTACAGTCTTACATGCAGTTTTGCTGTGAGAACAAAAAAAAAAAAATGGCAGTCGTTTTGCAAATTGCGATTGTATAATGTGACTTTTTACTGGTGTGCATGCAATCCATATTTTCTTAAGACATTTCCTGCCCCTGTAATGAAGTACACAGTATAAACAATTGGGAAAAAGATTCTTGGATATATATTTTATTTGAGTGGTTTAGAATATCATACAGTAAACAAGATTTCTGTAAAAGTTAATTTATCCATAGTGGTGCGTTTCATAAAAATAGTTGCTCACTTACAGCCTTTCTGTGACTATTAATACATGGAATTATATTTATAGCGATAGAGCTGTACAAGGTAAATTCACAGCTAACACTACACAGAAATATTATTTGGAATGGGGTTCAGATGATGTGCTGTCTTCACAGGTTATCAATTACAGCTGCATAAAGCAATTACTGCACAATGAGTCGCTGGGCACTGTGCAAATCAGAGCTTATGCAAGCATAATCGCAATTGTTTCCCCCAGTGCCGTTTGCTTCTGTTCATCATGTGTAGGAAATAATATTGTTGGACATGCCTTTCCATTCCCACGAAGGAAGTCCTGCCCACAATCCAGATTTAATAAATTAACAGCAAATTATGCCCAATGTCTGGGTTGGGGATAAAGATATATCTCTAATTTTGTAATTAAAAACTATATATATATTTTGTAAACAGCTACATATCTTTGTGCTTTTTAAAAAAATTATAATGGGACTAGTTCTTAAATATGCATCTTGTTTCAAGGTGCAAAATCCTTTCTTTCCTCTTTTCCAACTACTTCAACAGAAAGATGTCTCTAGTTCTCCTGAAGGAAAAAATAAAGCTTCAACATCTCTCTGATAAATGGCTGGGACAGCTAGTGAGATGTGGAATCCTTGCACCAAGCGTGGAGAATGCGCCATCACCTCCTCACACTTTTCTCCAAATCAACACTTCCACTGACTTTAAATAGCAACTGGAGTTTGCTCAGTCATGGAGCAGTGCATGCTTCCGAAGGGTTTGCCAAAGACCTATTCCCAAGTGCAATCAACACTGTGATTTTTATTTAAATATTATTACCAAGTGCTGCTGTTTTTGTTCTTGTCTGTATTGCTGTTGCTGGAAAAATGGAAAACCCCTCAGGCATACAGAACTGATGAATGGAGCTCACTGGAGAAGGTGTGCCTCATCGGTGTGGAATCAAACATTCTCGTGGCACTTAAGATTTGAAAGCAACAGGCAAGAAAGACATAAAGAAGAATATGGAAGCAAAAAAAGGGCTGGATGCCTGATGGATATGTGATTTCATTTTTTTAGATTTCTATCTTCGAATTCTTAGAGGAAGAGAACTCAAGATAATCATATTAAAGGGAGGTTGAAGACGTGTTGAGAGAGTGTTGAGACTTCCTGCAGGAGACTGAGGCTGTTATGAAAGGAAACTGCAGTTTATAATCTGTCAAGAATCACCCTCTCACCTTAGTGGCCTTGAAAATGCATGTTTCATTTCTCCATGCTGAGATCTGTGTAGTGCCTGGTAATCCTGGGGTCATTTGTGTGTGTGTGTGTGTGTGTGTGTGCGCGCGTGGGGTAGTAACTTGTGATAAATTGCTTGAGTCTAGATTTGGAAATACAGTTCCACCCTATTTCTTCTCCCAACGTACAAGAATATGGGTTTGTCCATAAAAATGGCAGTAGAAATGGTGTTGCACCAGCCAGCCGCACTAGGGTTTCTCACCTTGCATAATGAATTATGCTACTGGTTTTGGGGTGGTCTATTCCAAAGTGTTATAACAGTGGAGACAGGTCTTGGATGTACAATTTCAAATGCTTCAACCCCACCCCCCCTCTGGATATGTTGAGAACAATTTATTTACAACATGTAACACAGATAAAAGATTCTATTTCCACTTTTAGCTTGCTCCGTGCAGTTTTATTTAAGGCGATGTTCCAGTTTGTGATTGCTCTAACTTCTTCCAGTTTCTTGATATAAAGTTTGAATGAAAATCCCAAGTCCTTCATGCAGTGGAAAACAACATACTAAAGCTACACTGCACTGTCCTTGTGGTCAACTGTCCTTCATATTATTTTGGTTTCTTCCATAGCTGCCAAAGTCTCTGAAATGAATCTAGGGACTTTAGGGTCGCATTTAAATACTGTGTGACTACATGTTGCTTCAACTTATTAAAACGCTATGCACGTGGTCATGGAATTACACATTATTGTCACAATTTCTCAATGCTTTGAGCATGTATGTGTGTGATCGTTAAAATAAATTAAAGTAAATCAGTGTGAGACAGACACTAGGAGAGATGTTCTGCATCACTATGAAACAGTTAGAAGGCAACGGTCGCTGGTTTATCTGCTCATGGCAGAAGTGCCCGATTTGAGTACACCAGGTAGCTTATCAGAACCAGGGATCTTCCATGGTCCCGGTGAGACGGTTGCCTTCCGAGCTGTCATGTTGGTGCTGCGTGTGTGAATGGAATGGAGATGTCCCTTCCTTGGGAACTCTCTGGGCTTCCTATCGGGTTCCTTCTGGTTGTGATCCATGTCACTTCCGTGAGAGCTGCAGCTATTGCTACTGTACGCCTTTGTAGCACCAGTGGAATCCAGCTTGACGTGTTCGGAAGCTGCAGCCAGTTTCTTCTCCGATCCAACTGCAGCACTGAGATCTTTTGCACTGAGAGATCCGCCTCGTTTGCTTTCCAGCCACTTGGACCTCCCGGCTAATTCCTCATTGTTTCCAGCACACCCATGTTCTCGCACTCCAGCCTCGGCCATCCTGTTCAGTCCGACTGCCTTACTTTCTGACGCTGGCCTGCCACTTTCGCCAGGCTTGCTCTTCCCTTCAGAGCTTCCTTTCCTGGAAGCCTCTTCGTGCTTTGACCTGTCTACCTTTTTCGGACTTGCAGACCTCTCTCTTTGCTCACCTAACCTTTTCTTTTTGTGGCCATTTGCTGAAAGCTCCTTTGGTTTTCTTACATCATGTTCCCTCTTGACATCCCATGTTGGTTCTGGGTTTATCTGGTGGGAAGGGTCAGAGGGTTGGGCTAGATGTGATGAAGATAATGGTGAGACAATGTCATCAAGGGAAATAGTTACTTCCGGCAGACCTGGGGAGGTGGCAGCGGGAGAATTCCAGGAGTTTGGTTCGTCTGTTGTGACAAAAAGGAACACAGTTATTTCCACAGGCCTTTTGCAGAATATTCAGTACAACCCCTAACTGTTAACTTGAAACTGAATTTTGGAGACTTTTTTCCCCCATTTTAGTTTCACTTAAAACATGGGAGGGGACAAAGACAAAAAGAAGAATAATGTGAGCATGGATTTTATCTGTAGAATAACTGTTGAAACTGCATCATCGCAATCAATGCTAACTATCAGATTCTAAGGGTTCAGTTCTAAGGGCTGGGGAAAATTCTTTTTCTTTTATAAAAGGGAGTCATGAGAGGGGTTGGGGAGAACTGATTCTAGGCAGAAGACGTGCCAATCCTTTACTGCCACGATGTCACTCCAATCTGATTGTCTCTCTCTGCTGCTAAGCCACATGGGGTGGGGGCATTTTAACCTGGGAAATTGCAATGGGGCAAAAGAAGAGTTCATTAAATTTCCTGTGTTGCCACTCCTGTCCAATCTCTCTACTTCCAACTGCCTTTTGTGGGCAGAGACTCAGGAAAACTTGCATCATGCATAGTTTGCCCTTTACATACAGGTGTAACTTTGCTACAAATAAAAGAGCTGGTGAAAATAGATGCTGGATTAACCATTATGTCTCCCAACTGAGCCAAGCTCACACTGGAACTTCATCTATGCCGTTACTCACTGAAAGCACAGTACTAACTCTTTGAAAACAAGCACAGCTTACTGGCTTTCACAGCCGGTAGACATTTATCTATGCTTTCTGCAGCTGTTTTGGGCCATGTGAGATGTTACAGATTTCACACAAGGAGAGCACCTCTGTTCATAAACAAAACAAAACTCACATGGCAATGTGTGCATTATGCGCCTTTAGTTCACTGAAGGCACACCTTGGAAGCCAAGCATTTCAAATGCATGGCTTCATTTTTCAGTACGTTAAAAAAAAGCACATTTGGAAGTTCATCAAATGGGTTTTGTGATTAAATGCACGTTGCAGTAAGCTAGGAACACACATTGCTCTTGATTCAAGCCTCGGAGTGAGGGCACTGCAGCTTCTTTGGTTCCACTTAAGTTTTCATGCAGGCAAATCTGCACAGCTCTGCAATGCCATCTTGCGCAGCATGTGACCCCCCCCAACTGGCTGCATTCACTTAATAAGGGAGTACGAAACCCAGTTCAAGATAAACAGATGTCCCTGACATGCCAGCATATCAGGGAAATGGGTTACAGCTATCCCCCTACTGCCCAAAATCTAAAACAGGAAGAAGTCATGGAAGGTAGTGGTTTAGGGAGGTGCTTTTCAACCCTTCAGACGCATCCTTTCCTCTTGAAAAATATAATGACTTAACAATAGCGGCCTTTATAAAGACAACTCCCCAAATAATGATTGAAGAAGGGATGTGGGAGTGACTAGTTTTGTCTGTGCTTGCAGAGCAAGGCTGTACCGAATTATTATCCACATATGAAGGATTAACTGGCACCTTCAAGGCTAATTTCATAGATTTTATTCATGTGTGGCCATATCCAGCAGATTGTAATCCCTGCCAGTTGCCAGATAGCTCTTGCCCCACAGGGATTAAAATCTAAATTTGACAATGAGGAGAAGACAGAGAAACAGCCTGTGAGGCTGCAATGGATACATCTGAGGAAATGCTTTCGCACTGCTTCAACCAGCCTTCCCCAACCTGGGGCCCTCCAAGCCCTTTGGACGATCATTCCCAGCATGCTGGACCTTTGGTATGATAGGAGCTGAAACCCACACATGGCCTCTACTCAAGTCTCCTCTGTGCACCTGCAACTCCTCTCTTCCTCCAGCTAAAGATACCCAACAAAGTGCTTCTACCATTTCTTTTGTTCTTGCTGCTGCTGCTACCACCCCGGTTTTGGAAAATTATCAGAACTGTTGAGGGTATATCATAGGACATTAAGATCAAGTGATTTGTTGCTCAGAAGAAAAACCTTTAAAGAGCTCTGTTCAAACCATAATGGTTCATTTGGGTTTGTTCAGCCATCACTAAGATGATTGCTTTTCAAATCATAGCTAAACACGAAAAATGCACAATGTTATGCTTTGCAGTTGTCAGATTAATGGTTTTGCTCTTTCTGTGTACAGAAATATTCCAGAGACAGTTGTTAGTGCTTCTGAAGCATATATTTGTCTTCAATTTTTAAGACTTTGTGCAGACATAAATCAAAGGCTGTGATAATATGTACCCATATTATATTTTCCTTTCCCCCTTGTAATTTTTTCACATCTTTAAGGAACGTCCTAGCATCTTTTGTCTAGAAGCGCAGAACTGTGAACGGTTAAGAACAATTCTGTCTCCATGGCTTGATGTCAGGATTCAGGCAGTTTCAGGGCTCCTCCTGCTGGCCAACTGCCAGGATAGCAGCCCTGGTAGTTGCGAGACTGGGCCATTTGATCTCTGGGAGCCCTGGGGGAACAGCTATTTAAGAAGTGGCTGCTCCCCACAGAAGCTCCCTCAGCAGCACTAGTCTCCAGTGGGTTGAAGCTCTCTGTGGTGCCTGGATCTTGTCTGCTGTGGCTGCTGTTCCAAAGATACCCCGTCCTCATGCTATCTTCTTGGCTCCGGACCGCTGACTTGTTTCGACTGTGCTTTGCTATCTGGACTATGCTTCGTTTGCTTCCCAGTTGCTCCTGGTTTGACCCTGGCCTGCTCTGGATAATGACTTGGATTTGACTGGTGACTGGACTTCGGCCATATAGTTTATTGACTGTATTATCAGGGTCCCGGTGCCTCTGTTTAGCTTCCTTCCAGCCATGTCCCAGACCTTACACTTGGATCTTGGAAGGATTCACAGATCCTTTGTATATATGCCGATGATCCAAGGAGCTCAAGGCTAGAATTCTACACCCATTTACCTTGGAATAAACACCACCGAATGCAACAGAAAGGTCTTCTGGTTGTTTCAGCAAACTCTCTGAGGTAACTTGTTCTAAAAAGCACAGACTAGTCCTAGTTGGCAATCTGAATCTACATTTCCTCGAGCTAAGCACACCTGCATCCTCGTAGCTCATCTTCAAGGCTTCTTTAGTGCACATGTATGGGAAGGAAAACTTTTGATCACTTATGCTGGACAAACCAGTGAACTAATTCAATATCCATGTTATGGTACTACTTTGGAGATTATGTGTAGGCAAAACATTACATTCTAGTAAAACATTTCCCCATGTATATGCACCCATAGAAAACATGTCATAGAGAAAAGCATGAAGGAAGAATATTTAGCTAACTTCTTGTTCTTTCTCTCCTTCCTCACACAGGAAATCCATCTACCAAGTAGTCATGGCCAAGAGGAATGAATGAATGAACATGCTCTGTATAATTGCTCCAAAAGGTAGATCATAACTATTATACTCATCTTGCAGATGGGACCTGAAGCTAAGAAAAAAAAACTTGCTTCAGATCTGAGTACATGAGAGATTAAACTTGGGGACTTCTTCATTTGTAGCAGGATGTGCTCTTTGCCCCTACCCCTTACCAGTCCCACATCAGGCTGTGTAAGCAGGTCCCCAAATGTTAGTGCATTGTTCTTCCTTAACCAAAAATCTTAATCCAAATACCAAGAACGACCCTCTTTGAGATTGCCAGAAGGTAGCCAATGTTATTTTGGAGTGCAGATGCAGCTAATAAAGACCAAGATGGTTTCTTATACAACTGAATTGATTTCACACTGCAAATGAAGTTTCTAGACCTTCAGCTCAAAATCTTGGAGCACTCACGATTGCCCTGACTTCAGCCTCTTTCAGCCTTTGCTTGATCAGATCATTCTGTTGATGCCAGACCCCCCAAATCCTGCATTTTCCAGTTTTCACAGCTCTTGATGTTACTACCTCTGTTTTTTAAAGAAGCACCACATTGATTAAACTTCCTCCGGGTTGCCCTGACAGTCAAAGAACCACTTAGAATTGGCTCAGTAGTAAGCTTTTTATGATTAAAAGCCATAAGTCCAAAAAACCAAACCAAGCCAAACCACCCTCCCCCAAAAGGGTCAGCCCCCAAATCCTTCCTTTCTTGATTGATGAAGTGACAAATTCCAACTTCCTTCTTGTCTCTTTGCCTGAGGTTAAGCTGTGTAGCTGCCCCTTGCCTCTGTCTCTACAGAAGGAAAAGTAGCTAACCCTGGTGTCCTGCTTGCAGAAGTCACATATGCATTAACACCATGGGGGCTGCAGGACTTACTGCAGCTCTTTCCTTTCTTCCCCCTGGAGGCTGAATGCAGAGCTGAGGCATGCAAAGTGCTCCTGTACTCCAGCCCAGGCCACTCCCTCTGAAAGATCTTTTCTGCCTCCTCCTGGTCTGGTCACCAGGAGAGCCTTTCCCCTGCCTATTCATTTCTCACAATCATCTCTCCACCCAACTGGCAGCTGTTGCAGTTGAGATTGAAGAATACAATATGTTCCTGATGACCAAACAAGGGTCAGTTACTGAGAGTTCTATCAGAAAGACACAAGACGGTTGAAATTATAAAATAATCCTCTGTCAAGGTTGTCAGAATTTGTAAAGATAAGCCTGGGGGCAGATGTTTTGACATTGGATGCCCTAAAAAGAACTGTAGGGCAAGATACATGTACAAAAGTAACTGAATGTTTCCAGTTATGATGTTTTCCGTTGTTAAGCATTACAAAAAGATAAATGTATAAATTTGCTATGAATGCTAACTGTGTCAGCTGGTCCCCACTGGAGACAGGCTCACTGTAGATTGCCAGTGTGCACCCATGTAAAGAATCTTTTTTTTAACTATAAGACGACTTGCTGGTGTTGTCTGTCCCTCTCACAGTCAGATAATGGACAACAGGGACTTTTCTTGGATTCTTCATCAACAAGATGAAGAAGGTCTTTGTTGGTCTGTGTTTTCCATCCCTGTGTCCTGTTACTTCAGAAGCTACCATAGTAGGGAGGCAGAAGGGAAAGAGAGGGAGTGAAGGAGATCCCAGGTCTCCCACCACTGCTGTACCGGTACCACAGCTGAAACAACCATTGCACCAGTAAGG